ACCATGCTTTCCTGCCCCCCTTCCTCCCGGGGGGGCCCGGGCAGCCGCCGCTCCCCGAGAAGAAGCGGGCCTCGGAGGGCGACCACTCCCTTGGCTCCGTCTCCCCAGCCTCCAGCGGCTTCTCCAGCCCCCACAGCGGGAGCACCATGAGCATCCCCTTCCCCAGCGTGCTCCCCGACTTCTCCAAGCCCCCCGAGGCGGCGGCTCCTTCTCCTGGTACGTGGGTCCCTCTGGGGGGCGGGCCCTCGGGAAGCTGGGAGCCTCTGTGCGGGGCTGGGCGCCTCCCACCGTCCTCCCTCTGCGGCTGCCTGTCCCGGGAGCCGCTGTCAGCGTCTGCCGTGGGCGATCCCCTTCCCTCGGAACCAGGGGCCTGGAGACATAACTTTGGTTTCGAATTAAGCGAATTCGTTTCCAGTTCATTCTTTCACACTCTTACGAGCTCGGCCCCGGGAAGCACAGCTGGCCTTGCTTTGTGCCCGTCTGTCTGTCTGCTTTTTTTTTAAATGAAGGAAGAACTCCATTCTTTTTAAAATATATAGAGAGAGACTTTTTATTGACTCCAGAGAGGAAGGGAGAGGGGGAGAGAGAGGAACATCAGTGATGAGAGAGAATCATGGATCGGCTGCCTCCTGCACGCCCCACACTGGGGATGGAGCCCGCAACCCAGGCCTGTGCCCTGACGGGGACTCGAACCCTGACCTCCTGGTTCCTAGGTCGACGCTCAGCCACTGAGCCACTTGGGCCGGCTGAGCCCCCGTCTTTCTAAGGACGTGTTGTTGGATGTTCCCCGGACCCGACTTCCATGTCTCACCCCCATTATTCAACAGCCCGTGCCAGACCCCCATCAGCCCAGGGTGGGACGACCCTCAGCCCCCAGGAGGTGAGAGCTGGTGACACACAGCGCTCCTCACTGCGCCCATTTCAACCCCGTTTTGCAGAAAACCCAGGTGAGAAGCAGGTGACGGTGAGCTTTGTGCAGGACACCTCCAAGTTCTGGTACAAGGCGGACATCTCCAGGGAGCAAGGTGCGTGCGGGCTCGGCGTCAGCGTGAGGCGGGGCGCACACCTGCGATTGTCCACAGGTAGAGGCGAGCGCTGAGTGGCAGGGGCTGGTGACAGACAGCCCATCGCTCCCACACCACCTTGTCCGGGCGCCTCGGGCAGCTCAGGAGTCCAGGCACCGTAGTGGGTTTTTGTTTGTAAATATGTCCTTATTCATGTCAGAGAGGAAGGGAGAGGAAGCGAGAGAGAGACATCCGTGATGAGAGAGAATCATGGATCGGCCGCCTCCTGCACATCCCACACTGGGGATCGGGCCTGTGCCCTGACCGGAATCGAACCCTGACCTCCTGGTTCATGGGTCGACGCTCAGCCCCTGAGCCAGGCCGGCCGGGCTGCATCCGTAGTTCCGAGCAGCTCCATCAGGGGTCACTCTTAGGGGAACAAGAGTAGACGAGCTGCCGCCTGGGAGCCGAGCGGGGCCCCGGGGGGAAGAGGCCTCCCAGCAGGACTCGTGGTCCCCAGGGCGCTGCCTCCGCCCACGGGGCCTGCTGTCCCTGGGAGGCTGAGTCACCGCCACGTGGGGTCACTCCAGGGCGTCCCCCAGAGAGGAGGGCGTGTGACCGGCCCAGGGAATGACGTTCCCTCGAGGCTTCCTGGTGGC